CATCCATTGCAACTCCTTTTTCTTTCCCATTTCCACAATTCTCCCCCCTTTACCCCTGTTTCATATGCGAAAAAGAATTCTTTGTATCAAGTTTTTCAAACTACAAATCTATTAAACGCCATCAAATAAAAAGGCGAAGACTTGACCTACATCACAGGATGATCTTCATATGAAATTAATTTTTTTTTCTTCTTCTTCTTCTTGTTCCTTTCTATACAATACAATCGATATACACAAAATACTATAGAGAAATATATTTTTTGTTTTAAAATAATTAATATATGAAAACCGGGTGATAATAAACAGAAATGAAAAATGGAAAGAGAAAATGAATGAAAACTGAGCAAAAAAAAAAGAAAAAAAAGAAGGAAAATGGATGATAACGTAATCATGAAGCAAAATGAAAAGTGAAAAATGAAAAATAATTTTGTTATTTCATGAAAATTTTTGTATTTAATATATATATTTTCTTAACTATATATATATATATCTATATATGGTTAAGTATATGAATCTAATGTCTTTTTAAAATAGAATGTCAAAAGGCTTTAGTCTCCATTTATTCATTCGTATTTCATGTTTGAATAGTTACATTGATTTGTTAATTAGCTTATTCATGAAAAAATCAATTGAACTATTGAATAAGAAGGATAATATAGATAGATAGATAGATAGATACTCTTTACTCCCATATATGTCTTTAAGAAACTATATGTCTATCAATATGTGTATGTGTGTATATGTTTATTGTACTCTTTGTTGTTTGTAGTACGGACGAGAAATCAAAAAATTGAACTACAAAATCAAACAACTCTCTCGGTCTTTCTTCTCATTCGACTGTGTTGATCACTTCTCACACAGACACACACACACACACACCATACGACTATATTGATTGTTTTGTTATTAAGTAACATTTCTATGATTGTCCAATGCGCAATTGCACAACTCTGTTGTTTTTTTCTTTTTTTCTTCTTCTCTTGCTCTCTCCCAACAAAAAAAAAGAAAAAAATATACAAATATTCAATGGAATTTTCAATTTTCTCTTCTCTTTTTGGCGCTTTTTTTTTGCTTCTTTTCTCCTGCTAGTCATTTTCGTATTGTCCAGCGTATTATACAGAGAGATTGAATACCATATAAAGCGTTAAAGCAGTTGTTTCCAATATGAATCATACAATTGATTTGAAGCTTTACAATTGATTTGTTTGTTTCTTTATTTATTTAATTTTTATAATCAAACGCCATTTTTCAATCAATTATTTGACATAAAACGACATTCATCGTCTTTGAATCATTCATTTTATTTGTCTTTTTTCATAAGCCTTCTGTTTTGCCTCTCAAACATGTAATTTCTTATTTACAGACAGATGCCACGAAAAACAAAAGCAGATGGTTCGGTGCCGCGGGCGCCTCGTGCGAGGAAGAAGAATTCCACGAATCAGGAGCATGTCAAGCCAATCGTTGAGCCATCTATATATGACCCCATGATGGGTATGAACGGAATGAATAATATGATGATGGATGAAAGTCTATATGCTCATCCTCATCATCATCCTCCACCTCATCATCTTCCACATCATCACCCACATCATGCTCCTATACCACATCCTCATGCTCATCCACATGCTCATCCGCATGGGCCACCACCTCCAGATTATTCTTATGGTTATGCTCATCAGCCACCATACGCTCAAGATACACCAACGAACAATCCATATTTATTAGCATCAAATCAGCCGCCGTCTCAACCGCCACCTCAGGCAAATTTACAACAACCTCCTAATATACCTCAGCAGCCTCAACCGCCTGGCGTTCTGCAGCAGACACTCCAAGGTCAAGCGCCGCCGAATATGATGTATGTGAAAGATTTATTTTCAATATTTCAACAAAAAGATTTGAGAAAAGAATATTTTTCATATTGAAGAAGCGCATAAAGCTACAGTAGAATATATCTTCTGACATGCTTATGTTAAATGCCTTCATCAAATGATTTTAACTGACATTTCCTCGAAGAATGCAGTAGCGACTGACGTAATCATGTTGGCACCTTATAGACGCTCATATATATCGATGTCTTTATTAGCTGAGCTCTGCTTGCAGTGCCAGTTTTTGTGTCATCAAACGCTTTTTATCTTTTTTAATAATGCAATGAACATCGTTATTATCGTGTTTATAAGAAATGCTATATGTTTATCAGTCAGTTATACAGTGTGATCAATTACTTTATATTATATATATTATATATATATATATATTTATATATATTATTCGTTATTTTACACTTACATTTAGAATGCGTAATCCAATGGCCAATGCGCCGCCGACCCAGTCACAAGCGCCACAAGCAACTCTTCCTCCTCCTCCATCAGCTATTAGTTCACAAAACGCCCCTGCTCCACCAAACATGGCAACATGTCCAAGCCCGTTAGAATATAGAATACATGATATGAATAGGAGGATACAATCATTTAATAATAATCAGGTATATATTATATTATTATTATTTATTATAATATTTATATTTCATTAGATATCAGAAAAGGATCATGCACAATGGTGGGATGCGTTTTCACACGAATTTTTTGATGACGAAGCACGTTTAACAGTGACATTATTTAATGAAATCAATCCAAATCAATCAGAACGATACAGTAAGTGATATTGATAGATATATATATGTTATGTGATGATGTATTACAGCAATTCCGCGTCAACTAATTCCTAGGTTCTTTCGTTCATTCGTTGCTAGTGGAATGAAAGATCTTTGTTATATTATAAGATCAATGAGTAGGGAATCTCAATTGCCAAATGGATTAATATCTTTTGAAAATGATAGCATACTTCAAATAGTTCGATATAATATACCTTGTTTAATTGAGGTATGTTGAAGGAAGCCATTTATACAGATGGATCATGTTTCAATATCGTTTAGACACAGACAGATTGTAAATTTAATATTGAATTTACTCCATATGATGATATTCTCAATTATCGCATCCATATGTGGCATATCCAGTTGAGGAGTTGTCAAGAGTACTATATAGCTGATGTTTCAAAGGTCAGCTCTTATAAGTAGTTTGTTTAATTAGTTTTATTGTTATAGGAGTTGCAATTGGCCGATAAAAGCCAACCCGTAACAAGATTAGGATTATCTCAGGCTACCATCTACAGTTTGTCTGTTACTCGTATTCTTGAGCCAATGCAAGTGTTAATGGGTCACCAGAAAATGCATGGAGTATTAATTTGTTTATAAAAACTAATGCTCATTCTATCACATTGCAGCTTCATCCTCATGAAACAATGCGAAGAACATTGTTCAATCATCGTTCAGCCATGCAAGAAATGCAACAGAGAATGAGTAAGACCATTTATTAAATTTATTTCAAATATTTATAAGCATTTATAGGTCAACAACCACAGATGTTACCACCTGCTGCTCCGGAAGAGAAGCCTAAGCCAACTCGTAAGCGTACCAGAAAAGGACAAGCTGCTGCTAATCCCAAGAGTAAAAAGCCAACAGCTAGTCCCACTCGTGCAGCTATTCCGCCTCCATTCCCAGCAAGCCAAATGACGGGATCAGTAAGGCTATTTAGAACAATATGCATTCACAAACGAATATGTTTAGTTCAACACAATGAGCTATCAAGATGTAATGGTTGTGGGTGAGCCATCAATGATGGGCGGTGACTTTGGAGAAGATGACGAAAGAACAATTTCAAGGGTTGTAAATTCACAATACGATCCAGCAACTATGCAGGTTAGTGTTGATGCAATAAAATACGATAGAATGCTTAATTATTGCGTAATGAATGAGAAAGAAAAACACATTTATTTGGGTATATATTGCTTTTGAGACCAAAGAATGTCCGGAATTTTGTGCTTTTGCTTCAAGCCGTAGCTGGCAAACAAAGCCATCTAGCTGAAAGTGGCAAATCTTTTGCTTTGTCGAACTTAAAAAGACCAAAAATTATATGAACGTTGCCCCTTTGCTCAAAAAATATGAGCTTTTTTGGGGTTGGCAAAAAAACAAAATATATTTACACGTCTTTCCAGCCAGTACAACAAGCTTCCAAATATGTCTTTGTACCACCTATACAATAATTAATAATAATAATAGTGGAGCGATGTAAACAGAATATTTGAATGTGTTTTCCGAGGTGTACTAGGTATGTATATTTATAATAATAATAATAATATTAATTATTTTATTATAGAATTGCTCAATGAATCTGATGATGTCATCAGATGCTTCCTTATTCGTTTAATCTATTCAATTCTCGAAAACAGAGGACTGTTTCAATCAATTACTTATCTCTCATATAGTAATAGTAACAGAATGCAGTACTAAGTGGCCTTCAAACATATTGTTATTCAGAGTTGTTTTTTTTTGGATTTTTTTGATTTCACCTTCTATTTATGGTTATATATATATATATATTAATTATAGTTTATAGTATAATCAAAAACTGTATTTAAAAACTGATTTTCGGGTATTTGAAATCAAAAATAATATTATATGTATATATATATATATGTATATGTATAATTATATATATATATATATATATGTATTTATATTGTCCTTAACTATATTCTCTTTCAATCAGTCTCTCTCTCTATCCCTTTCCCTTTCCCTCTCCCTTTTTCCCTCTTTATCTCGTAATGTCATACAAAAGAAACCTGTCATCTTAATTGCAATAGCTACTCATACTAACTAATCTAAGAAAGAAAGAATAATCATTTAGCATATTGTTCTATAATGATCTCTATGTATAACTACTTTCTTACTTTCATAAGTAATCTTATATACTTTCCCAAGTACAACAACATTACTGAACGTAGACACATTCTCACTCATAACTATTGTATAAGTGAAGCCATTCATACCATATATGTCATAGGATTTTTGCATGTTTATAACTAATTATATTATATTATATTTTATATTCATATATATATATATATATATTTATATATTTACATAACTCTTACCCTTCCCATCCCCCTTCTAACCCTTCTTCAAACCTCATATATGTCACTTTGGTTAGATGCCTTTTACTTGTGTGAGTTTCTCACAAAACTGTCAAAAGAAAAGCTGCCTTTACTTGAACCTCATACATGTGCTTTGATATATACTCGGTATACTACGTTGTGCTATAAATCACTTACATTTTGAAATTATATTGTTTTATATGTTTATTACATTCATATAATGATATACAGCGAAAGATGGTATTACAAGTAGTGGAACATCTGATTATCAGAGAGAATATTTAAAGCAATTAATCATAGATACATGTCGTTCTTATGATGAGATGAAACAACTGTTGATGTGGTTTTAGGACTTAATGAAGGCTCATTCGAATACGAGAGCGTTCGAGAAGCTTTTCGAATAAACAAACGGAAGTATTTTTTGAGATGATTAGTGAAAGCGATGAATACGAATGCGTTAACTGAAGCCGAGATCAACGATAAGATGTGTGCAATATGTGAGTTAAAGTAATCATATCTGAAATTAGAAAGTATGCTTACAGCTGCACTCACAGCATTCAATTACCTATTGGGACATTGACGTTGAATCATCATCTGCCATTTTCTTACAACCAGGAACAGAGTTACTGAGTGCAATAACAGATATAAGATGATGATGAGAACAATTGAGATTGTAGCCCGGAGTTCTTGCTTATGACGAAGGATTTCTGTTTTCCGACTATACGAAGGTGTTAGTGATTCACTAAAAGCAATAGATGAAAACGTTTCAACGGCTTCTATTGATACTTGAGGGCATTCCTTCTGGCATGAGTACCAACTTGTAAGTATGTCAAATGCCTCGTATGGAATATTTCATGGAGCGTTAATAACGAAAATAGACTCATCCACATGAAAGGCAAAATATTATTCAGTAATGGATCCAATACTGAGTGATATATCAATCGATATGGTGATAAAACCTATAAGGGACCATTTGTAATTGAATATATGATTAGCCCGAGTAATTTAATCTTTTCCATTAGTTTCCCACATTACCTCGGTTGCAGCTATTCTCTTGTTCACTCGAAATGAGGGCTTCCAACTGAATTTCAATTCCAACAGAAACGTTGGCAAACGAAATAACATTATTATCACAAATAGAATTAAAAGCATCGTATGAGCTTTGTTGGTTGTGTCTTTCAAACGGGAAACGACAGGGCGCGATATCTTGAAAGAAAAAAACTTTTTTTTTACTTCTCAAAGAATATCAAAGAGACTTTCCAATATCGATGAACAGATAAAGCTGCTATCGTCCATACATGCATCGTATTTACAGTAGCTTCTATTCTGAAAAGATTATTTATGATTAAAGATTACATCTTATTCATCTCACCGAGGAATCGTATGTTTCAAGAAGCGCCTTTCAAACATACAGAACCCATAGAGGGTATGATTCTGTGAATGATGTTTATCACATACTTGAGGGAACAATACTGTTGCAGCTGTTATAATTAATTGACAATGATCAAGTATAAGTAAAGCTCTGAGATATACTATAACACCGGAGGTGATCTTAGGAGGGCGATGCAAAAAAATCTGAAAAAATTTGAAAAAAAAGTTAAAAATGAACTATGAAGTAAGATAATTGAGATGTTTTACTTTGTAACATTCAAATCTAGTTTGTATGTCAAATCAATTAATATCATGCGCCCTAAATTGGATTTCCTTTTTTTTTTGTTTAATGAAATGTTTATTCACCGAAAGACTGAAAAGAAATGAGAAATTGAAATAGGACAAGAAATCTCTCATTCTTATTTGTATGGCCTATATAAAACAAGATGAAAAAGTTCGTGGAAGAAAAAAAAGTTTTCGCAATTGATTGATTGATGAGAAGTGCGTATTCATTATTAATTTATATCTTATATGTATATATGTTAGAACAATCACTTACTAAAGCTATAGCATTGAAAAAGACGCCGAGAAGAGTAATCGGCAATAAGACATAGAGATTCAGTGATCCCAGCTGGAAATATAGAACATGGTCATGTACCTTGGGTTCATGATAGCAAGCTGGCGAATGTCTCCACCATGCAAGGGATGTTTCACTCATCAACTTGAGCAAACTGAAACAAACATGTATTTTTAAAACAATTTCGGAAATGTGCTGAAGAAGATTTTCAAAGATGAAAAAAAAAATGTTGGAGCAACAATTGGTTTTTAGTAAGACAAGCCTCAATGGTAAAAGCAGATATGAGATTAGGAAACATAAGACTTGTGTCTAGATGAAGTAAAATTACGTAAAGGCAATTGCAAGAAGATGTCAAATCACCATCCAACAACACAAAAAAGAAGTTCAATAAACGCCATATGCCATTTGAAAGAATAGAATGAACGTGGAGCTATTTTTAAATGTGTTAGATTTGACAAGATTCACATAAAATGTAATTACTAATCCCATTCTTGTGAGTTCAATGTTCATCAAACATATGAATGCAATTTGGAAGAAGCTTTGAAGAGAGATTAAGATGATGTTAACGTTATAGTTAAAACAAAGAATGGAACATAAGTAGAAGCTGAAGATGATGAAGATTCGTATATATCTAGAAGGATTTGAACAGAAAAAATGAAAAACAGATGAAACTGGCTGGTTGTGAAAAAATTGATGAACAAAATGAAAAATAATTAAAAGAAAACCATATATAGAGTGAGAGAGAGAGGATGCGTAACAGCTTAGATGTACGTAATTCATCAATGTTTCCATATGATATGATCATATGATATACATCTTCATACCTCATAATCCTTATGATAAAGAGAAAAAAAAATGGAAGAGAGAGTCAAACGATCAATATGTGATATTCATATTTCTAAATAATTCTTTGAATCAACTCATGTGATATGATGAAATATTGAAATTTGATGATGCACGTAGAAGGATGAACGATTCATAGGACGATCAGTCTGTCATGTAAAACAAAGATGGTTGAGAGAGAGAGTTTCATGATATGTTAGGTTACGAAGAAGGCTCAATGCAAAAAAATGAGAGAAAACGAGAGAGGACATTCATGAGTTTCGTGTCTCCGCACACTCCTTTCCAAAGTAAATATCTTGAATAATCGTCTGAGTCCATTCGGAGAAATGTCGAATATTCTCCATTTTGCTTTTATTTCTCTTCTTCTTTTCCTATATATATATATCTATAATCTGAAATACATTTGTTTTAACAACAAAAATGAAAGATGAAGTGTAAGAGGCCAGGCAAAGCATAAGTTAAAAACAAGAAATGTGAGAATCATATCATATATATAAAAAAAAGAACTTTTTTTTGTTGTTAACATCTATCTTTTCAACAGAAAAATGATACATAGTATGAGGAACAACAAAAATCTTTTTTTTTTCCTTTTTATTTTCTCACATAGGCTATAGTCACACATGTATCATGACAATTCAAATTTAATCTCATTTTCGAGTAGCCAATACTAATCTCATTTTTATTGAGAAATATAAATATTAAGCATTGATATTGAACCAATCTAACTGACCCTCTTATTTAAATATATTTTGCAACACTCTGACACTCAATAATGACGTGTATTCATTGCAAAAGTCGCTTCTTATTTCAATTTCATTTCTTGTTAGAGTGTAGAAAGAACATTTTGTTCATTTTGTTTCAACAAATAGTTTACCCAAGTATCTTAAATCTTAAAAATTCAATCAGAGCACAGTCGTTTCGAAAATCAGATACATTTCAGTAATAATATATAATTATATAATGCTTTTACGTCAAATGATAATTAGTAAACATTAAAAAAAATATCCTTCTTGTGATAACATGATTATGGATTCTGAACCATCTTAAGCTGGCATCTCGAACTTTCTGTTAACTTGGAGAACTGAAATGAATGTAAGTATTCATCTTGGACGAATTGTTTCAATTACCTTGGGTAACATAAAGGTAGAAGAAGTCAGCATAAAGAACAGTTTGGACGATTCCAGCAACAACGGCGATAGGGTCGAAGAAGTTTTCAGTGTAATACCTACAAATATGGTTTCATTCTCTTAACTGATTGGCATTTGTTACCTGTAAATCCAGTTGATGATGTAGAGACCACGATAAGATCCTAAAGCAAACAGGTAGTGAGCTGTGATGGTTTCAGCATTCTTTGTTCGCGAAAGCATAAAAAGTTGTGGCATGATAGCAACAGCCTCCAAGTAGATTGAGAAAGTCCATAAGATCTGAATGAATCAGTATTGCTGCCTTTGATAATTTGATTAATACCTCCATGAAAGTGAACTCATGATTGATGAGAAGAGCTAAGATGGCACATGGAGCGACGAGGAATTCTACCCTAAGTGTATCATTGTTTCTGAAAATAAACTCTATTGACTGCATTCATGTATTCATATCAAACCTATCATATGTAGCCTTGAACTTGTGCAAAACCAAATAAACAGTTCCAATAGAAGTAACCAAATAGAAAAGCTGAACAACTTTCTAAAGCTACAGTCCAATCAAACATCATACCTTCATTAAAGTGTTATAGGGTGAGATGAAGTTAGTGAAAATATCCAAATAACGAGCGATGAATACCAGACCGAATAACACTTGGGAGCGTCCAGATATTCCTGTCGATTGATTAATGTATAGAACAAGTGTATGAGAATATAAGTACCTTCACAGCTCCGAGATTTCCATATTTTATGCAAAAGAATTGCAATGGCAGCCAAGTGAGCCAAATCGGCGGATAGACGGAAGATGTTCATCACCTGCAATTTTGGAATTAATACTAAGAAATAAGTCAAAAAAGGGAATGACAACGTCAAAAATCAATATACTGTGATAAAGAGCCGAATGGAGAGATAAGCACCTGCATTGGGCGCGCAAACAATCAATATCAAAATCATAATATATTATATGATAATATAATATTAAAATTAATTAAATAATAAGAACTAGATTAATGATGGTTGGTCAGTGAAATGAAATTGTAAACATATATGAAAAGATAGAGGACGCGGATTTCCACGTCACAGTTAGGTCGTCTTCTCACAAACGGTCCCGAACAGATGACACAGTCCTTGAAATATGTGTAGCGTCATCATTACACTCGACCCCTTGCTCTACTTTACGGTGTTGTATCTTTTTCTGACGAGGACGCTATAATAAGATTGTGTGCTTAAATAAGATGAAGAGAAGGAAAAATTGTATAAGTGTAAGAAGATATCATCGATAAATAACTTTGAACGTTGATAATGGGATAACAAACTGATAGCTGTTCATACCTACCCATTAACATGTTAACTATACATAACTATATATAACTATGTATATAATTATTTCACATGATTATGATACATTATGTAATTAACTTTGAAACTTTTCTTTCTTTTCCGTAAATTTCAACTTTCAAAACTGCCCCCGTTAAGGTAGAGGGAGAAGGAACAAACTTTGAAGAACAGAATCTTTTTAGAACTCTCCCGATTGAAACGTAATCATTCTTAGATGAAGTTGAGGAATAACAAATAGAGGAAGAACACACAAATACTTTATTACATTATATATATTGTATTAGGTACTAACCAACATGAACTTTTCGAAAAAAAAAAAACTTGAAATGCTTTTTCGCTGACACACAGCGCTGTGTCTTATTACCGATCCATACTTTGAATGAAAGTACGTTTGGAAATCTGATGAATGAAGTAATCAGCATTGTATGGTAGACTCTAAATATACATTTTCAACGTTTGAGAGGAATTCATCAATCTTTGTAGTCATAAAGAAGCATCGACAGGAATGATTATCTCTTGCCGAGTTGAGCATCTCAAGGCTCTGAACACACAACAAACACGACGATAGCTCATAGTTTTTGTTGTTGAATATTATATTTTCAAATCAACTTGTTTATCAACGCTTATAGCATTCGTAAACAGTACCCAATATAAGCAATGTTCGTTCAACAGTAGGAAACTAGGTTCAACAGCTGATATGGTCAAATTGTATTTTTAATCTCAAACTACATATGCTGCTATCTTACACAACATATAAGGGAAAAAATAATCTTTGAACACCTTTGCAATGTTTTAGTTTGAAACTTTTGATCAAGGAAGTAGCCATATTCGTCTTGTCCTCTCAAAACTAAGATCAGAGGTCTTATGCTGCTCACGTGAACTCGTTTACTTATCAGATAACCAAACTTCACCAGCTTCTAAAGAAAGATTATCAACAAAAAAATGAAACGATAGAAATGGAAGTTTCATTCAAATACAGAATATATGACGTATATCTAACTAGTTAATGAGCTTGTACTGTACATTTGAAATAAATAGTTAACGTTCATTCCATTGATCACTATATCAGCTGAATGACCATATATGTGTCTATTAAGAAATATTATGAGATGACAATAAAACAATATGAAACAACAAATGAAACAACAAATAATAACATTCGGATGAACAGAACAGGAGAAGATGTGCTCTAGTGTGAGCATATGTCATTGAATGAAAACTTAATAAGGTTGTGTGTGTGTGTGTGTGTGTGTGTGTATGTGGTGGGGTTTGCTCATGTACTTTGATCAGGATAAGAAAGAAGATAGAGATGCGACCTTTCTCATCCTACTATTTTCCAATTCAAAAAAGGTTTTTATAGGATTTGGTTGTTTTGCTGTCTCCTTGTCTGATTGTTTAAAACCCTCCTTAGTTTTTCGCTTATCTTTTACATTTATCATTTGGCGTTGGCTGAGAATGTGCTTCCGAATAACTTAAGATACCCTTTCATGAAATAGTATAAATTTGAGAATTAATGAAAAAAAAAGATTTATTTTCAAATATTTACTTTATGATAAGCTGTAAGTGACAGAGTATACTTCTAATCTACAATGGCTTTGTGAAGTAACGTCTGAAAGAGCTTTGTTGTCTTTTCTTCATCACATTAGAAAGCCTTTGTTTTCTTCTTCTTAATTAACTGCAGTTAAGTTAAGTAGAAGTTTTAATTTTTTTTATTTGTTTAGAAGAAACTGAGATTGATGTGTTCAAATCTTCTTCTCATCATGAAGGTCTCTTTAAAAATAAATTTATTTGAATAACGTTAGTTGCTTTACAAATATATTTTTTTTTGTTATTTTAAAATAAAATTTCGTTTTTATTTCATCTCATTGAAGCTTTCGTATTTGAAAAGTTTGAATGTGATTAGGTTGGAGGAAGTTGAAATATAAGTTCAAAGAATGAATTGAAGATGATTCAGATTAACCATCATGATGCAATATGCTATCTTCAAATGTATCTTCATTAGTATATTATATATTTCATGTAACTAGTTTGTCACAACTGCAGTCTCATGTTCAAAAAGAAAAAATGTTTAGTGGGTAATTCAATTAGTTATAGGAAATACCATAAAACGCTAGTATAAGCTGTCCATCTGTCGGGACAACAATGTCATTTTACCAAAAGTATATTGAACACTCGGAACTTGTGCAAGACTCCCCTTACTCACTTTTTTCCATTTCTTATTTAAACTTAAAATAATATGTAACATTTGATTATAATAATTTGATAACATAGTATATATCTATTTGAATCTTCATTAAGATGTTCTCCTCTAATGAGAATCGTAATGACATCTCGTGTTAAGTCCATTGTTATCGTCTTCCTATTTCAATAACTATCTTATAAGACTTGGAATTATTAATAACTCTATAAGATTACAGGTTACATTGTTTTTAGACCCTTAGTCTATGCCTATTGATGAATTTGTATTAAAGTTCTTGTCATACTCTAACCAACAAAGGTATTGCCAGATAGCTGTTCTTTGTATTCTTCTAATTTGAATTTCATTATTCAGTTGCTCTATTTATCAATTGTTAACACTTTTCTATTCAAAGTTTTGAAATAAACTGCGAGAATAAGTATCAAGTGAGAGACACTAGTCTTGAGATCAGCGTATACAGCTGGATACGGTAATGCCGAATGCTCATTGGGCGTGAGGGAGTGGCCGGGGCGGAGCCAGTATCAATTTCGGCGGATTGGCTTCTAATGAAAGCACATCCCCGGGGGCCAGCAATGTTCTTCTCTGATGGTTCTACCTTACTTAGATCTATAAAAGATGAGAATATCCGTGGAACCTGGACATCACAACTTCTTGACACATCGGTAACAAGGTCAGTCTTCATGCTATTTCATTATATTTTCATTTATATCATCCTATCTCACATTTTATGAGCCAAAAGCAAAACATTAAATTTCTGAAATTAGTTTGAAGCACCGTTTTTTAAGTTAAAACATCAACGATTCTGAAACTTTTTAATGGTTCTTTTATAACCTAATCTAACTCACAACTCTGATGACTATGTAACTGAACCTTGGAGGTTCCGTCCCGTGGGGTAAAGTCCCCAGGTCCCTGCTCTGGGACTTTTGTCAACTCAGGAAAAATATTAGATGTATAGTCAATCGTGTTTGAATGGTCATTTCCTTTTAAGAATCAAGCTTTTTGCTAGATTTAAAAAGCGCATTCCTTTTTCTTCAAGCAAATTGCTTGATAGCTTAATTTAATTGCAAAGGTTCTTCTTTGAATTAAGTCCATTCTTTTGAAATATTTTGCAGCATCAGATGAGTTGTTACTCTGATAAATTGTTTTTAATTCATTTCTTCCGACTTCCTATTTGAAACATCACTAACTCAAGCAGTCAGCTAACTGTTGAAACTTTGCTCAGAATAACTGAATCAATCATTTATTCTTAAAAGTAATTGTTTTCATTCAGCTTCAATTCGCAACTATCACGTGCACATTTCGAAAAACATCCACCGAACAATTTGAGAAAATCGAATTTTTTTCATTTCGTGATTGCCTTATATGATCGTTCTAATCAGCCAATCGAAATTGAGCGAACTCAGGTATAGCTTTCTGCATCTTTCTTGTTATTCAGCTATCTTGTCATATTGTAGTTTGCTGGATTTGTTGAAGGCGAAAAAGAAGTAGAAGGTCAAGATACAAAGAATGGTATTCACTATAAGTTAGGTCTTCTATTCCATAATGGTTTGATATTCATCTCATGTTATGCTCAAATAACAATCTGCTTTAGGTGTCAGAAGCGAGCAAGATCTTTACGTTCGATTAATTGATAGCGTATCAAAACAGGTTTGTTTTTGGATAATCTTCAATTGCTTTCTTATACCAAAAAGCATATTTTAAATAATATTTACCCAATTAACCGTCTAAAATTCATTTTTTTTTTATAACAAATTTATAATTATTTTTTTACAATTACCAAATTGGGGATAGATATTGTAGTTTTTGATAATTAGCGGTTGAGCAGTATACTCAACTCACAAGGGTAGATTGCTAATTGTTTAAATATCAATCATAGATATATATATATATATCTATCGGTATAATCGTTTGATGAAAACAATTATGAGATTCTTCAAAATTTCACGTTCGCCTTTTGTTATCATCATTCGTATTACGATTGCTTTCTGAAGATGATGAGGAAGAAGAAGATGAAGTAGAAGAGAAGAGGGGGGGGGGAGAAGCATACAACATTATTTTTGCTGCAAAAGTTGCTTTAAATCGAAACTATATATTATCCGTTTTATCCAAACAAGTTGCCGAATGGGTTCAATTTCGGAGACGGAAAGTGAAAGATAGAATAGTTTAGAGAGATTGCTCAGACAGTTAGAACACTGCTCTTCGAAGGGTTACTGTAATAGAAAACTTGTTCTGAAGTACAACTGACATATTTAACCAAGATGAAGAGGATAACATGACGTGAAAAAATTTTCTTAAATTTTCAGGCAATAACTTATGAAGGGCAGGATAAAAATCCAGAAATGTGTCGGGTCTTACTCACTCATGAAGTGATGTGTAGGTGAGAAAACTCTTGATAGTCATTAGGGGATATGAAAACTCATTATGCTTTCAGTCGATGTTGTGAAAAGAAAAGCTGTGGTAATAGAAATGAGACACCCAGTGATCCAGTGATTATTGACAGGTGAGCAGTTTCATAAGAGTTATCTAAGTTCGTTTGGTAAAGAGAAAGTCATAAGCTTAAGCTAAGAGAGGATATTATTCTTAATTTCCTTTTTTGTTTGATGTAATTAGGAATAGATAGTTGTATCTCATCATGTTCTCCTCATGCTAACTCATCTCTTTTTCATTGAATTATGAGTCATGTGCGGAGAGCAAAGGCTTATAACATTCCAATAATTATATCTGTTTCAACATCGATTAATTTAATGTTACAAATTGAACATGTAATTATATAATAGTAGCCTTGTATGAGTTGATTCTATTGGATTCATTCAAAGAGCTTGTGACCTTCTCTTAACTTGTTTATGAGTAAGTCTTCTTATAAGTGATCAGATTAATGTCAAGGCTTATGAAGTAACATCTGTACTTCTATTTGTATCCTTTTAACCAATACTAATATTATCCTCTTTTCAGATATTTTCTTAAGTTCTTTCTCAAATGTAATCAGAATTGCTTGAAGAATGCTGGAAATCCCAGAGACATGCGCAGATTCCAGGTAATTGATGCTGTTGATCTTCATGTTTGAGCTTTAACAAATCCATCCTCACATCCATAACTTTGAGAGATAGAGAAAGAGAGAGAGAGAGATACAGTAATCTAATCTCGAGATCAAATATCCTTGTTTTATCTCAAAATCTTCATCTATAGCATAGCTGCGATTGAAGAGCAACAATAAACTAAGCTATCCCAATTTGTCTTGTCTCGTCATCTGTCTGAATAGTAACTGCCTTTCCTACTAGACTGCTAAACATTCACATTTATCATTCATATTTTGGACAGCTTTCATAACTAAAATGCAAATAAGCTCGAAGCTGTGACTAGTTGTTGAGATGAATATCTTTTTCTCGCATATAAATAAGAAGCAGTTGTTATCCTTAGAAGGGAAGACCAAAGTGCCAGATATGACAGCTGCAACTACAGCTGATATACATAAAAGGCAAGAGAATAAATGTCTATAGTGATATATGACTCTTTTGGGAACTAGCTATCACATGAAGATAGATAGTTTGAAAATGCTTGAGATAGTGAAAAGCTGTGGAATAATAGAAGTCAAAAGGAAATAAAAATATATAAAGGATATATAATATTAAAAATATATTTTGTCACATCATCAACCTCTACTATCTATTGTTTATATGGTTTACAAGCATCGCTTGATCATATATGACAGTCTTCAAAAGAATATATTACAATGTGAATAAAGAGCGAACCGTTTTCAATGAATGTGTGAAACAGGTGGTCGTTTATGATATCCAAACTGTTACTTCCATCCATCATACCATACTTAGTCATGAATAAACTCCAAATATGAACTATTAATTAACAAAGAAAATATTTTTTCGCCATCTGACCGTAACCCATCTGTTGCCAAAACATCTTCGGCGCTATGCGCTTAACTTCAAGGTCATATAGTAGAGTCTTGGCCCTTCTTTACATAATTGAGGGATTAACACCTTATTAGTGAACAAACACATCCATCTACCGATTGAGTAACTCTACTTGTTTAAGGTTGTTTTGAGTGCATCTGTTAACATCGATGGACCTTTGTTGGCTGTTTCCGAAAACATGTTTGTACATAACAACTCCAAGCATGGACGTCGAACTAAGCGTACAGACGCTAATGAAGGTTAGTGTACAACACAAAAAAAAAATAAAGAAACATATGTGTATATAATTGGTTATATATAGTATATGTATATATGTGTCATACTGTAACTATTAGCCAATAGTTTCATATTTCGTTTATCTGACTATTCAATTTGAACAAATCAATTGTTTTTCAAATTTGATCAAACATTTAATTTGTATGTTAGTGTTGTTCTGCAGATGTAACAAACAGATAATTTTCTCCAATTCTATCTGAGAGTATAAATTGAATGAGTTGTAAGCTCATCAACTAGTTTGAGCAAGTTTCGAACGGATAGCATTAATTCTTCAAGCTTCCAATAAGTTCAAGAAGTCACAAGAAGAAGAAGAAGATAGAATGAGTTGTAGGAAGAAGAGAGAGAGAGATTAAAGAACACAAAGAGTGCGTTTGAGATATAGAGATAACAGTGAGTGTGGATGGATAGAATGGAAGGGTTCACTAGTGTTGCAGCTGTCTATTCAAATTAGTTGTCAAGGATATGGTAATATTTTGTGAAGTCTGAAAAGGAAGCATATTTATTCATATTTATTAAAAAACTGTCAGATATGCAAATTAGAAGAATGAGAAGCAGATAGAAAGATTGAATGGACAGTTTGTCAGATAGTCTATTTCTCTTAACAAAAGATTCTTCAATAAGATTCACCAAGTGATTGTGTCAGAGTAATGAGCTAACATTACTCAAATAGTTCGTTGATCATTTGAAAGATAAACACTCTGACAGTAAACTGCTATCCCAATCTAAGTGCCCGGAACTAGTTGAATGACAATGGCAACGAAAATTTTTTTGGGGGAAAAATATATTCAAAACGAAATTGAATCAAAGATGAATACTTTCAGAGTTTCAAGATGCTGGTGACGTAACAATAGGATCTACCCCAATCATTAAAGCTGTCTGCCCTTCTGAAGGGTGGATTCAGGGAGGAACTCAAGTTATCGTTATTGGAGAAAACTTTTTCGAGGGGTTACAAGTATCTTTTGGAGTTACATCAGTTTGGAGTGAAGTGAGCATACAACTTATTCAATGTGAACACGAATCTCTGATGTTTCAGTTTATTTCTCCCCATGCAATGAGAGTTACAACCCCCGCACGCCATTCAGCGGGAGTCGTAGAAGTTACTCTTTCTTATAAAAGCAAGCAATTCAACAGATCTACACCTATCCGTTTCGCTTATACATGTAAGATTAAAAAACAATTCTGAAATGACATCTGGTTTTAGCTTTGACTGAACCTAACATCGATTTCGGATTCCAACGTCTTCAGAAATTGCTTCCCAAATATCCAGGTGATCCAGAACGTCTTCCAAAGGAACAAATACTCAAACGAGCTGCTGAGCTAGCGGAAGCTTTGTATAATAGGTAAAGACGAGTAAATGAGAAATGTTTTGAATATAAAAGTTTCAGTAGTTCTCGTAATCCCGCAGATCAACTGTCTCATTACGCATCGGCTGCATATGCCGGATTCAGCGAGCCAACAACAGGTAATCGATTGATTATTACATCGATAGTTTATGAACATAATTTGAAGATTATACCTCCCGCGTTCATTCAACTTCGCGCGCACTTGCATATGGTACAGGACAACATACATTATCATGGAATAGTTGGATCAATTACTCACATAGTTAACACTACGTACTGAATCTTATTTATATACTCAGCTGTTCATTAATAATAATAATAATAATAATAATTAATAATAATAATTATATGTGTCTAGTCTTGTGAAGCAATAACTGTAACATACTACTCATTCCCCTTACATGTGTCGTTTGATTGTTCAACTTCTTTATTCATTTGAATGTCGTGATGTATTTTTCTAATTCCTAATATGATAAAACTTAAAATGTCACATTTTCATATATCTTTGTGCAAGTGGTAATGCTAGCTTCCAAGAAATTTAATAATTCATCAAGAAACTGCGAATTTCAAATGATTTTGCAGTGTTTCAATCTGATATCTTAACTTCATTTTCATATTTTTAAATTTTTTATTCAAATTACTGAAAAGTCATATGAGTAGTTGTGCATATTGTCATCTGTCCCGACACCACAACCACTTCATTTTTATATAAACTAACAATCACAAACTTCAGTCGTTAGCAGGACTTCTATTTCTACAAACAGACCGGATCAAACAGGTATGCTTTATGAGATTTCATCAAAACAAACATAATCACTGAAGCTAAACATCTGTTTTTGCATGAAGCTCAGTCGATTCAAAACAACTGAACGATTGCAATAAGTTGAATAACTTATCCAGTCCTTTCACATTATTGAGATCAAATTTCTTGAAAAAGATAAAATACAGTATTTTAAGTGAATAATAGCATTCGCAAAGCTTTGATCTCTCCTTTTTGGATAGAAAAGTTCTTCTTTAAGTTCAATAACTCTCGCTCTCATGAGTAGATCAATAGTTTCCTTTTAAGAACAAAAAACAAATAGTATGTAAGAGAGAGAATAACCTTGAGAATGGTTTTACCTCGTTTTTCGAGAAAAAGAGAGAGAGAGAGAGAGACTTACTAGTTTGAAATAGAAATCAGACAAAAGAGAGAGAGAGATAGAGAGAGAACGAGAAGTGCTGTAGTTTCGTTTTTGTCTTCAAAAAAAAAAGAACCGTCGAAGGCAGATCATACATCATTTCATTTTTTATTGTGTTATGTCATGGTTCTAAACGATAGTTGGAATGGAGAAGTTGCTATTTGAAGGTCGAAATAGCATTGTAAGATGCGAGCTACAAGCTCATTTCAGGCACATTATCACATTTCGTTCATTCAGTTATCTTATTTCATCCTTATAATCAATGAGTTTCATTGTCTTTCTCTCTCTTGTAAGACATATTCTCAGTTTTTTTTCTTTTTTTTTTCCATTTTGCTTCCTCATACAGCAATCCGTTTTCGCATTCTCATATTTCTTGAAAATTCAACATTGAAAAGTTAATATTTCTTTTAATATTTTCATCGAGCTACACAAGACTTCAGGCGTTTATCAATAATTTTCTATTATTTTCTGATGATGATTGATCATTTCACATTTGACTCCATGAAATATTAATGAAAAACTAATTTTTAAACATTTTTTGTTAACAAATGAAATTTTTTCTAACTTTATCTGTTTCTCTCTCAGTCTATAGCAATCATTGAGAGAGAGAGAGAGAGAGAGAGAGAGAGTTTGTGAAAGAGGGAATTTAAAATGAGAGTTCTATTCCAAACTCTCATCTCTCTCTATCTATCTCTCTATCACTATCGTAAAGAGAGAGAGGCTATGTAAGTGATAGAAGGAGAGTTCTGTTCCAAGTTGTCAGCTTTGTTCTCTTCTTTTTAATTCATTTATTCTACATATTGTTTCCCTATTTCTTTATAAAATTGCTGCTAAAAGCATAGCAGAGAGCAAAAAGAGAGAGAAAGAGATAGAGAGAGAGAGGAAGAGAGAGAGAGTATTGAACTCAGATAAGTTTTTTGGTTATCACGCTGTGAATGTCGCATGAACATGCACCAATATGAGATTGGAATGAAATATTAAAAGTTCTCTATACAACTTCTTCTTTTTTTTTTTGTTTGAATTGCTTTATTGCATCTATTCAATGGATACTTATTCGACAACAACACGTTGAATGCTTGTAGCTCTCTCTCTCTCTCTCTCATTGTGATCCTGTTCATTTATCATTTTTGAACACTTTTTTGCACCCATTTATTCTGTGAGAGTTTGATTTCAAAGTTCAAATGTAATTCGCTTTATTTAGAAAAAAAAAAGAAAAGAAAAGAAAATATTTCATCTTTACAAAGGTTTTTCGAAGAACTCAAAAAATAAAAAACAAAATAAGCCCTCAGTAGAAAGTATTTAAGTCTTTCAATTTATTCTAACGCTGTCTGATGAACGTGCTTCTTTGAGAAAAAAGGAAAAGCTGAATGAATATTATTAAAACTGTTGTACTTTAATTCATTCCAATTTCATTTTTATATGTTTTGTCTTTTATTTTCTTCATTTTCAATAGTATTTGTTGCGGAATGTTGCAAGTTGTGGAGAATAGTTTGATTGTTTCAATCTCTTTTTTGACAATTTATCCAATACTATTGGGGGTTTTCCTTAAAAGGTAACAAATTTAATTTTCCTTCTCTTTCGCAATATAATTGTTCAAAGAGAAATACATGGACAACTCATTTTCAAATATATTCATTGTCTCTAGATCTCTCTATCTGTCACTATATTTCCATCTATCTCTCTGTGATAGTAGCATATTAAGTTAATTTAGTTTGTAATGGAAAAGTATGAAATAGAGCGAATGTTGCAAAAAAACCTCAAAAGCAAAATGTGTCCAAAAGAGCTTTAGTTTGCATTTTTGTTAAGAATCTTCATATTTCCATTGTGATATATGGTTCATGTGCGACTCTCATTCGTTCTCTCTCTTTCATTCGTATTCCCTTACATCTACATTACTATGTGATTTCTTTGTGTGTTTGAAGATTACCTTCATTTCAAAAATATTATTTCAACTTCCATCAATTAACTTCATAAGGAGAAGATAGAGTAACCGAGAGATGAATGCTTCCAGTCGCTTGTTTCGCTTCCTTCATGATCATCAACATTTTTGTGAAGGAAGAGAGAGAGAGAAAAAAAAAATAAAAAAAATAAACAAATCTTCTCTGAGACGAACAGATGAGACACAAAAGCAATTCATGCATGAGTCTCATCTTGTCATTCTTTCAACGTTATTGTTGGAGAATTAGGTGTTGCAATAGTCTTTTTCTCTCAATAAATAAGACTGATTGTTGTTTATTCCTATTTTTGTTTTACAAAATATTCATTTTTTGTCTTGTTGCTAATATTATGAGAAAACGAAACAACTCTATAACAATAGAGAAAGGCCCGTTTAGAGAGTATTGAACCTATCATCATCATCATCATCATCATCATGTGGACATTCACAACACACATACACTCACACACACACACACACACATGTATGTGTGAAGAATAATCTTGAGAAACAACTTCTTCATGTTGATAATTAATTTTCAGTAAAGAGCATTCATAGCAATAACAAATAAAAAGTTGTATTGTGAATAACATTTCGTTTGTTCACCTCAACATTCATGTAGAGATGTCAAATATTTTTTTTTTCTCCTTCATCTTCTTATTCTTCTTGTTCATTTTTTTTGTTCTGATTTCTTTTTTCTTTTATTTCATTTTCATCAGCTGCTCTATAAAGATTTCTACTTCCTTTCTAAGCACACTTAGTGCTGTATCATACTTTGCCATCTTTTGATTTTTTGTTTCTCTCTTCTCCTACTCCTACTCTATCCATCCATCCATCCATCCACGCATACACACAAAAAAGAAAGTTTTTTTTCCTCTTCCTTTTCTGTCCCCGAACAGCTCATAGTATCTCCTCTATCTGATCAAGAGATTCCTACTTGTCGCTTCAAATTAATTATTTTTCTCTTAATTAATGTCCACTACATCAAATGAGTTTAGATTAAACAACAACAACGAAAAAAAAGTATTTTTTATTTGAATATACGAAACCTCCAATATCATTGAAATGCATTGTGTGTGTGTCTGTCCCCCCCCAACCACCACCACCACCACTTGCCGTCCCTTTAGTACTTCCTTAACTTACGTCTTATGCGACTGACTCCAACCATCTGTCTTTAACGAAACAAAAAGATTATATTTTTTGTTTAAAATATATAAATATTTCTTATAAACTAACTGAAAATAGATCATCTGTTTTGTTTTTTTCTTCATTTTTGTTTATTTTTTTTTTGTCTGTGTGTTGCTGCTCTTTTCTGATGTTATCCAATGATAGGATTCTATTTAAAACAAAGTAAAGTTGCTAGCAAAACATGATTGAATTATGGCTCTGTCTAATTCTTACTTTCTTCTCATTGCGTTTTATATAAAGCGATGAGATGAAAAAAAGATTTTGAAGAAGCTCAAGATAAAAGCTTTGATTTTCAACAAGAGAAGGTCACTTTTCAATAATTTTCTCAAAGGCATAAGCTTATATATATATATTTATGAAGAGAGAGAGAGAGATTGTGTAAGAGAGAGTATAAGATGATTTTAACTCACAAGCTTGTTTAGTTCACTCTATGGTTGTTGAGTTGCATTCGAATTGAAATCGTATATTTAATGGGAAAAAAGGAGAGTCAAGAAGAGATTTTATAATCAAGAGAGAGAAGATTGAGTGATATCCCATTTTCATCATTTCAAAACTATGTGATGTTCACAACAACAAGAAATAAAAAAAAAAAAAAAGAAGAAAAAAAAAAGAAAATATATTTCATTGAACTATTTGAAAATTTTTTAATTTTCAATCCTCATATGCATTTGAATGATATATTGGTATCATCCATGCTCAATCTATTCATTTGATCTAGTTCATAATTCTTTTGAATATCTATATATGCTGTGTGCAATTCCATTTTCTATCTCTCTCTCTCTCTCTCTCTCTTTCATATATTCTCATGATATCCTCATATACTCTCTTAACCTCTTTTACCATCTCACATCATATTCAAGCTGACATATATTTGTTCAATTAATCATCCTTTTACTCAAATTACTTGAAAATTTGATTTCTTCACATTAATATCCTGCCAAGTACCATTAACTCCATCAGATTCACGGGGTGAGATGTCATGCATAGAGCTCTGAGATACATTATGAAATCCATATGCAATTGATTGAAAGTATTTTGTATTTAATATACTTTTTTTTCACTTCAACATAGTTATTCATTAACAACTTCCTTGTTTGTAACACTTTTTTTTTTTTCTAAAAACTCAATTAATAGTTGTCAAATCTGTTTCAAATGTTGCATTCTTGATATTTGCAGTCGTGAACTTCGTTAATATTCCATTCACACGAACTTTTCTAAAGATTAAAGCTTGAAAATGAATGTAAAGATTTAAAAGTTGCTAGTAAGGCACTCAGATGAGAGTTCTACTAGTTTCTTTGATATTTCATTGTTTATAATGCACACATGTTCAACTTCATCTATTTTCATTTATGCTCTACTCATTTAACTATATCATATAGAGATTATAATTAATTATAATATTATACAGCTCGGGTATATGAATACTATAAATAATCAATAGTATTAGTGATAGCCATTGGTTTGTATTTTCATTCAAATTGATCAGACATTTGTTACCGGAAATGATTACACTACAGTAAGTTATATTATATATAATTATGATAACTAATATGCATATAATTATAGACTTAATCAAAGTTATACATGTGATGCTCAACATGCACCTTCCATCAGTCCAATTCTCATGAAAGCTGCTAAGGATTGCCTGAATGAAGGTTCATACAAATCATTTTCCCATTCATTCTGCTATTTTCAGGAATGTTTCATTTCTATGATGGATGTTTGCGTAGATGTATAACTGACACTGTGATCTTACCTCTATCTCACTATCAAGATCTTGAGGAACTTGTTTATGGAAAAGTATTGATTGATTTAAATTTATAATATATAAATTATCATATTATAGATTTTCCCTGTTATCGTCATGTTTGCTATTGTATCGAATATGACTGTTGCTGTTGTGTTATCGAAAAAACATATGATCACGTCAACGAATCTTGTTCTCAAGTACATGGCTGTCGCTGAATTGCTTGTTGGACTAATCCCCTTACCTTGGACACTTTTCTTTTTCACAATGAAGTAGCAGCTTGCAATGAATTATAAAACAATCGTTCGCCATTTTGCAGACATTATGAGCACAATGAAGATCTGGAACTTTGGTGGTGTTACTTAAACAAATACAGTATGGATGCTCTTCCTCCAATATTTCATAATATTGCTATGTGGTTGACAGTTCTTCTTGCCGCTCAAAGGTATTTTAACCAAAATAAGATCTATTGACAGATAGAGAGGCAGAGAGTGAGTAAGTATATTTGCGTTTCTTTTTATGTCCACTAGTACTCAAACTAACGACTTTTAATCTTTTGATCCTCATGTGAACATTTTCATTCTTAATATAGATTTACTAAAAAGATTTCCTTGACAAGCTTGCGTGAAGGTCTTGATGCGAAACCATATATCTCTCTCATGACGTCATTCTGTGCTTTATGCAAAAAAATATTAGAATAACCCTTTCCTATTCTATTTCTTAAAAAAAGCCTCAAAAGGAAATACGTTTTTTGGGGGGCTAGTAGTCATTTTGATTTCAATACTTATAAACTGGATGAGACACTTCTTGAACATTCGAGTGTACTCAAGAGAAGCTTATGAAAAAAAATTTAAAAACTCATAAAAACTATTAAAATACATATTCCAACCGGAATAAATTATAAAAATCATCTCAAAATCATAGAAATTCTTTTAAAAACGCTCGGTATAGGTGTGTTTAGAGCTCTGTGAGTAGGTTGTAGAGGAATGATCAGTGCATGGGATTATGATTCTATTTCGAATAAATAACATGTTCAGATATGTGTCCATTTCTTATCCCATGTATTCTCGTTCAATATGCAATCTTCGTAACGTTCGTATAGCTACACTTGTCATCACGGTAATAGTTGTTAAAAGGAATTGATTGTTATCACAACATATCTCAGGCTGTTTCATTTGGCTGTGGACTCCCGAAATCATTCGATTATTATTTGGATGTGGTAGATTCCTGGGTCTTATCTGGATTTTTTCCAGATTTTAGATATACGCGGTATTTCAAATAGAATGAAATAGATGAAATATTATTTTTCAGAGCTTGCACTAGTAAAGCAACTCCTTTCTTGCTTTTTGTCGGACCTACCTTGTTCTATAATATCTACTTCTGGACAAGAACTATATTTTTCATCACACTCCCCAGCATCCTTCTTGTCATTCTTAACATTCTTCTTATCAGACAACTCCGCTTAGCTGAACTTCGCAAGATTCGTTTACTGAAGTAATAAGAGAATTTCGATACTCTCATAATGCTATATCTAATAGGGAAAAACGTAGTGAAGAAGCTGCTCGTCAACGTGATATCAACTCTACTAGTTACATGCTTGTCTTTATTGTTTCCCTGTTCTTGGTAATTTTGATTTCCGTAGTTGTGTTATCTGTCAACAATCTCAGATTGTCAATCTTCCTCAAGCTGCTTTCATGGGAGTCCTATGTGTTTGTGAAACATTCCATATTCGTGTAGCACTATTGGATGGTATTTTTCCAGCGGTTTTCTTGCTTTCCAGTAATATGCTTGTCATGGTAAACAATAAGTATACTCCATCAGTTATTTGTTTTGCTTTAGGCTACTTATCCTATCAATTTCGGAATATATTGTTTCATGTCTAGCAGTTTCCGTCAAACTTTCGAAGACATATTCGTTCCGTAAGTCTTTAAATCCATTCACAACAAAGTAATATTTCATTTAACAGAACCTGGTTTATCCATTTCCGCAATGCTATGCAAACTGAAAGAACTGCTACCAGATCGGTCATGGAAGAAAGAAACGAAGCCACCGAACATCTTATGCTCTCAGATGTTCCTAGTGCTCGTTATTACGCTAAACGTGCAAGTGTATACTGATTGATGGGAATTTGTGATTCAAATGATTTGATGGTTCAATTGATAATGAGTTTTTTTTGTTTTTTTTTTTCGAGTTTCCTATCAGCCTGTTTCACCTTTCCCCCAACCTGTGTTATGCATTCTATACATCCCTATGCTGAGCTAGACCTATCTCTTATAGATCATCTCTATAAACAACAACAAAAACTTCTTTATTAACGGTAAATAATGGAAGAATCAAAAAAAAAGAAAGAAAACATATTTAAGTTATTTAACAACCAACTATTCGTATACATTCCATATTGACCGTTAAAATGGTAATTACTTTAACTATTCATTACAACTTTTGATTTGCAAAATGTTGTCGTGAAATTTGTTAATTAATAAATTATTCGGGATAATATATATCATTATTATGAACAAAAAATTGAAAAAAAAAAAGAATAATATAATTTAAAATGTATAATATCAAGCGAGATGACATAGATAATTATATAAAATTGAATGAAAATATTAAGAAAATAAAAGTTTTTTTGAGAAAATTGAAACATTTCAAACTGAACAAATTGATGTTATTCACGTGATGGGAACAAACGAATTATCATTTATATACATAGATATATATTAGTCTGCATATATAGGAAGGCAGACGAAGCATTCCATTCACTATGAAGAAGCTGCGAAGTACCAAACTTATGTGCTATATGTTTAGGGTTTCTTCTATATAACTTCCGTTCTAGCCGTATATGATGTAATGAATGAGAGATTGCTGGATTATCATTCATTTGAAAACTTAAAGAAGGCTCGGTTGTGTTTTACGATTTCCACGGGTAAATAGCTTTTTCAATGCAATTTGATAGTCACGATTGAAAACCTTAAAAAAAAATATATTTTGTTATTACGCCCATGTTAAAGCATTTTTTTATGTTACCGTGTAGATAATTGGGTTCATAGCTGAATTGCTATATCCTAGCCATGTAATAAACATCTCAATATGGGGATTTGGGCTGCAGCTTTTGCAGAATTGTACCAACACATACATTCTAAATGAATGAATCATTCGCAAAGTTCAATGTTCACGTTTTTCTTACACAAAAAATGGAGTCCAGCAAACAGTAAAGCATCCTAAAATAATGCCTAGAACTTTGACACCTCGTCGTTCCTTTGCTGCGGAAATAGCTTTGGGTTTGCGTTGTAGGCTACGACGATAAGTCCTCTCTTTTCTAAATTTGTTTTTCACTCATGTTGTTCTGAGAAAATAAAATAAGATTTTTCAAACCTGTTCTTATAACGCTGAACTTTCTCATAAGTAATTACTTGTGTATTTCTTTTTTCCACTTCCTGTTTTCGTTGACGATCATAAACGGGAACCGATTTCGAAACATAAAAATATGATTTTTAATTTGTTTTCTATCTATCTAAAATGCTACTTTGACTTCAATCTTGACGTATGGCAAATTTCGTTTTCCTTCTACTACTCCAGATAGGGTGGTTGTAGTTTGAGTCTAAATTAAATGATCATTGTCAGTTAGACCAAATGCTCTCTCTCAAGTTCATATGATTTTCAATCACACAGATTTATACTTTAAAAGTTAAAAACTCGCCTCATTTTGATCTTCAGTGTTTTCTAAGACAGCATCTTCATCTTCCTCGTTCTCATCTTCTTCTTTTATGCGATTTATATTTTCACTATCGTTACCTGAAAACGAATTTCATGTCGAAAAGGGTTGAATGATTTTCATTTCAGTACTTTCATCTTCTTCTTCCTCTTTTGCAAACTCATCTGAAGTTGGAAGAACATGGCTGATTTCATGAAGAATAGTTGACTCAATATGCTTTCGAATGACCTGAATATATAAAACCGTGAAGATAGGTGGCAATAATTGATCAATATGTATTATTTGGTGCTATCACAGCAACCTAATGCAGTATTGCGTTAGAAGCGAAACATATATATTGCATTAGCTCACAGTGCATGTCAAGGTTGAGCGGAAACATGAGGGTAAGTTAAAACATGCGATAAGCAACAAGGTGTGAAAACAAACATTCTATTGTTAGAAATCTAAGACAAGTCACTAATCTAACTGTACGCTTCAAGAACTTTTGCATGTAGACGGGACCTAATCCGATAACTGTCGAACGTGAAGCAACAAACATACAAACATCGAAGAAAATGAGAGGAAAGAAACTTAGTTCCATATGGATTCCTCCTGTGATACTAACAGCTAGTAGCTTGTCATGATTCAAGTAATGTGCAGATGGTTGCGAATAGCTGTTAGCTCACTCGTTTTCGAAATCAATTTTACGAAGGTTTAACTCAAAAAAATTAAACAAAAAACAAAAGTGAATGCAAATGATGCATATTGCTCGATGCGATTTTTCTTCGATTGCAGTTTTAAAAATAATAAACAATACGCTTACGTGAGATGAGACGGCCAGCTAAAAACCTAATTTTAGTTTTCTTTTTAAAAAACTTTTTTTTTTTTTTAAATTTTTTTTAGTTCTGATTTCTGTCTGAAATAGTTTTAAAACATATCAAAGGACAAACACTCACAATGTTCATAGATAGAAAGATAGAGAACAAATAAATAAGAGAAGCTTCTGAAGTTGTTTTGAGCGCACAAAGTTGCTTTTATAACAGAAACATGTAGAAAGATACTTTTTTTGTTTTGTTTTGAAAGTTTGAATACATTGGAATGTGTTTAAATTCATTTCCAATTGTTAGTCTTTGTTAGTTTTTCCCCCATGACACAATATTTTTTGAAATTTTAAGACCTTTCGTTTTCATTTTACTATTTCAGTTTGAAATTGAAGGTTCCAAAAGATATTTGTACGATTCTTTTAACTATATAGCTAAACAATCGTTCAGGGCAAAAAGTGCCTTTCTAATCGTGACTGCTACACAACTGGTTGGATCTAGCAGGGCGTAACTGACCTTTTGACGATATATTTGACGAGCACGATGTTTCGCAAATGCTTGATAGATCTTAAAATATACGAAGAACATTAAGATTGTTGGAATGAAGAATGATCCAGTGGCCGAGTAAATAGTATAACTTGGTAGATCCAAGAAAGTACATTGACGTGAGCTTGTTTTATCATCCATGATCAAGTTGGACGATATAGCCGTCTATAATAATATCCATATCAACTGCTATACTGCAAAGCAGATTGAGAACCTGTTTCCAACCGAGAAGTGGTGCTAATGATATCAAAGAGCTGGTAGCCCAAACAGTCAAAATCATTATGCCAGCCGTTTTTTTGTTTCTGAAAGAAAACAAGAAATCAGCTTGAGGAATCTTGAATTTCGAGCCTTTTATTCATGTAGGCAACAGGTGTTGTAATGGCCCAGTATCTGTCTAGTCCGACAATACATAAGTTCCAAATAGATGCTGTAGAGCAGAGAATATCGGCTGATACGAACACTTCACATAATGTATCAGGAAAAATCCATTCTCCCGCTAAAGCATACACCGACGATAGCGGTAATACAATTAATCCAAGACAAAGATCTGAGAAAGCCAAGTTGCCAACCTATATGATTTTCAATGGTGTGTCATGAATAACGAAAACTTGATATACCAGTAAGTTAGGCACTGTTTGAAGACGTGGATTTTTGTATAGAACTATGAATACAAGTGTGTTGGCAAAGATAGTCCATACTACCAGAAGAAAGAGGGCTCCTCCTTTGAGAATATGAAAGAAATTTAAACTTTCCAGCATAAATTCTGATTCTGAAAAAAAAAAGAAAAAAAATCTGATACGGAACATGTGAAAGTGTGGATGAGAGAAAGAAGAAAAAGTTTGAAAAAATAGAACAACGACTAAGCAGGTGAAAATGTAATCATATATATAAATAATAAATGAATGATATGATAAAATATAATAATATTATAGTGTGATGAAATGAAATTAATCATTGAGCATTCAGGAAGGATGTGAAGGAGGTTTTATACTGCTGACTACGAAAAAAAGAAAATAAAATCCGTTTTTTTCTGCTCTCAACATGACAAAGGCAGATATTTTCGAAAGTTGCTTGTGTGGTAATAACATCATCTGACAACAAGCTAGTTAGAATTTTAAGCCGGCTGTCAGATTACATAATACAGGAACGAAATGATATTTGAAAATCAGAATAATTGGAAAAAAAAGAGCAAAAAATGAAAACAAAAAAAAAAGTAAACAGAAGTGAAAAAAGCCATGTGGGAATGGTATTCGTTTTCAACTTTTATCGAAATAATTGAGAGAAATGTAATGGATCAAAACATTTAGAAAAAATAATAAAAATTCTTTGAATATAAAATCAAAATAGTGAATGCTCATAACTAACTTGGAATAAATCGTTAAAGACATAATTTACAAACGTAAAATTATAATATTCTAATATATATAGAATCTATATGAATGACGTCAAAGACCACACATAGAATGGATAAGAGAATGTAAAAGAGTTTGTACAACTATGGAATAATGAAGAGTAGGGTCAAAGACGAAGACAAAGTTGATTTTACTTTTAATAAAGAGAAATGTGAGTGTAAGAGAGAGAGATAGAGAGAGAGAGAGAGAGAAAGAGCTAGATAGAAAGAGAAACAGTTAGTTGTGCATATTTTCATAGTTTTAGCCCTCTTATTATAGTTAATTGTCATAAACTGTTTATAGTATTCGAGCATTTTTAATTTCTTTCTTCTACAAAAAAAAAACGGGGAAAAATCAAAAATTAAAAAAAAATTATATTTGCACAACATTAAATTATGAATATGATGAATAATTAAAATTTAAAATTAGCATAAAAATCAAATAATTTCGTGTTGAAAGGTTTGTCAAGGAGAGAAAGAGAAAGAGAGAAAATGAATGAGAGAAAAAGAAATAAAGAGAGAAGAAGAATCGAAAAAAAGGAAAAAAAAAAGCGGAAAGATGTAGATGTATACCATGAATAAAGAAGGAAGGATTGTGTGAATAGAGAAACGGTGTTATTTCATTATCAGAATTATAAATACTTTGGACGTCTTGAGGATTATATTTTCTTTTATAACAACTCATATATTATTTTTCAATATGAATTGAACAAAAGAATGAGCAAAATAATTCACAATGAAAATAGACATCAAAAATATGTTTTTCATACCAATATTCATTTCTATTTCGAGAATAATTTCGTTTTCTCTCTTAAGAGATATCCAGAGAGATGATAAAAAAAGATTTTTTTTTTCATGCTTGTTCGCTTATTTATGTATTAATTTATTCAAAAAGTAAATTCAAAAAAAGGAACGTTCAAATATTTTCTTGGAATGAAAGAAAACACTCTTTGTCGACACATTGTTGCCTATACTCAACAACCTCAAAAACCTTTGTCTGCAAGTTTTTATTCTTTCGATAGATCTAGAGCCAGACAACTGTTCCACAATATACGTCTCTGTTTAGGTTGATTAAGAAATAACCAAAAATAGTAGACCAGCATGTTCCGTTTCAGAAACTTGCTCCACAAAGTAGAAGAAAGAGAAAAAGCGGTATCGAAGTCCAAAAAACAATTTTTAGGCGAATTTTATGATAAAAAAAGACATCTCAATATTTCAGACGGTAATTTGATCAACTTTTTTCAATTTTTGAATTTTGGAGGGGTCTTCACTGATGAGGGTAAGCTTCGAAGTTGATGCACTTCTTGCTTGACAAACGTAAAAATACCTATGTAATAGATATTTTTTGTGCATTTAAGCTGAGTCGAAACGTGCTCACTGTAGACCTAAGATTCATTTGAGGAAACTAGTAAAGTTTTCTTCTCTCTCACGTTTTCAAGATACTGTGGTATAATCTACTATAAGCTTTCCGAGTGTCAAAAAATGACACATATCATCTTCTCCATCATGAATACTTTAGGACATACTGTCAGTTCATTTTAAACTTTGATCTAGTGGACAGAGTTAATACTGTTTTCTAATTCCCCCTCAATCAAATGAGAAACATTGTTTCCTGATCATTTCAATATCAATCTCAGTACATCATCTGAGATTTTCCTATTGGTTCAGGAACATATTGCAATCGTTGTAAGCTTATGTACTTTTACAACTTCCTTTTTCACAACCGTTGGTGAAACCAGCAGATTATTCAAAGTTCTGACCAAGGAAGTCAGCTGTCATGAAGTTCGCATGTCGTATGAGCATTCTCGATCCCCATTGAGTGAATGATTTCATCGTAGAATGCCATGCGCCCATTTCATGATATTCATATTTGCCTTCCACTCATTTATTTCCTTTATTTTTACTTGTGGAAAAGATGATCACCATAACTGAGATTTGAGCTAACTTAGTTTCATGTGGTCACGTTGGTCCAGAAACACATTTGCGTGAAGGCATTGAAGATCTCTCAGTCTCATCTCTCTTTGATGTACATATACTCTCTTCTTTTCCAAAAGCTCGTTTGAATTCGCCGTCTCCACTCGTTTCTCTTCTTCTTCTTCTAATTGATTCAGAGTATAGTCTAAAAACCACAGCTCTGACAGTCTGAATCCAATAAAGTTGGCGCTCTCTCGTTGCCATCATTACTCTCGTTTCTAATAAGAGAAGGGAATTAATTGAGGCCTTCTAACTATAAAGCCCTCTCAAAACAGAATGCTCTATTTTTCGATTTGATTGTTTTTCTCATCTAACGTTCTCTCTCTGCAAGTAGCAGTTATAGGTACTCTTATTCTCTGAAAAACTATCGCTTCTCAGCTGTGTCTTTTCCTCCAAATGGAGCAATCCGAAAACCTCTCACTCTGAAACACTATATGAACTGTCTAAACATCTCCACTTATGACGCTGTCTCTCTGATGCTTTGAAATCTGGACTAAGCCCCCACATCTTCTCTTTCTTTCTGACATTGAACACGCACAGAACGGATGTCAGTCTTTTGTTTCTCTAAACCTCAACTGGGCCAACGGTATCTAACAGCCCGAAGCGCACTTATCGAACGCTGAGAAACAAATGAGTTTCTCTAACAGTCTCGGCTCTCATATGTCAGCGTGATATATCGTCAACGCTAATCCTCTCTCGTGCTAATGGGGAATGGAATGTCTGCCATTGCTGTCTCTTAATCGGAGCTCTCTCTAAAACTTCCAATATTTCTTATGGAGAACCTTTCTCTTTTATTGGGATCGCGCAGAGCTCCAATGTTTATTCAACAGTCTGCACTCTCATTCATTCTGTTTATATTTCTAATGCTCTCCTCTCCATTGAAATCACTGCAGTCGTCTAAATGTCAAATCTCTCTCAAAAATCCATTGGGTATATTTTTCCTGAGCCTCTCTTTTTCTGAACGATCAGTAGTCAGCTGTCTAACAACCTGCTCTCTCCATTAAACTCTCGATATCCTCTTTTCTTAGTTTCTCTCATTTCTTGTGAAGAGGAAAAGCGTTTCATGCTCATGATCGTCTCATCCCTCTCAAATTTCAATAGTCTCATTTTTAATCTAACTTTCCTTCGCCTCTAACAAACTTTTGGTCAAGAATTAAGCTATTTTGTGGAAAAAATCTCTATGCACTCTCTTTGAGGTTTTTATATTTAATTCCTTTGATGCTCTCAGAGAAGTATGTACTAGAAGGACGTTTCAAGACTCTTCTAAAATCTTAGTGTTTCTAGTGTGAGGTGATCATTATGCTTGTGATCTCCTCACAGCTCTTCTTTCAACTTAATTTATTCTGGTTCAACGTTTCATACATTATTCTGTCTTTCATTCGATCAGAAGGTTCTTTCCTAATCTCATCTCTTTGATTGACTGTAACAGTGGAAATAAACTATGATCTCGAGTCTATTCAGTCTAATTTCATTTGCAGGTCTTCTATCGGAAGTAACGAACTTATGATTTTTAAGAAAAATTTTTAGCAAACTAATCTCCGATCCTAGATAGTAGAAATTCCTCGCTTCAGGTTGACAAATGAAATTATTCCGAAACATTGTAGCTGGTCGGAAACTTCGTACGTCCCTGAAACATAAGATATAAAAATGAAAACAGAAAGCGGAAGTTAATATAAGAACAATGTCCTTCGAATGAGATGTATTATATGAGAGGTGTGTTTGGTGTGACTTGTGATAAGGTTTATGATGCTCTCATTCTTCTGAGGCTTCTTTATTAACTTTCGGGAAAGAATCCGGAGTTTATTCTATTTGGAAACGATAAACCCCCACACTTTCAATCAAAATTTTTTCATTATCGTCAAAGATTTGGCTGGAAGCTCAAAAAGAAGCAATAATCGCACGAAATGATAAAAAAGGCATCGCTGTAGGATTTTCTGATTATATGTAGTGGTGACGACGGCTGTCAATAAGGTCAAAGGGACGCAAGAATTATACTTAATTATAAATTTTAATAAAAAATTTTTTTGAAGTAATTATCGAAGCTGAGTTTAACTTGTTGATCTGGTGCCAACAAATTGAAAAAAAGAAAAGTGAGTGATATTGATGATGATCAAGCGATCAAGACTCTTGAAGTTTTTATGAACCTTCTGATTGGTTCACACTTTGGAAAGTAAATAAGAGGTAGATGAAGCAAAGTGTGATATTTTCACAAAATGAATGAAGTGATGAAGATTCTGATAACATCAAGCACTCGAAAAACGTTTTTAATAGGAAATATGCCTATTATTCAAAATTTTCAATCAAAAAAGGAAATTTATAAATAATTGAATTGCGAAATGAACGTCATGATAATATTCATTTGAACGCCTCCTTTCCTTTTACTAGAAAGCTATATCTACATTGATTATAGTTTGATTTTATTATAATAAAAATTACATAAATTCAAAGGGAAATTGACTCTCAAAAGTATTTGTTGTGTATAAAATGTTTTTCAAAAATTATTAAAAATTTTTTTTTCTATTTTTCATATTCTCAATATGGTGTTGATCTATTGTAGAAATGTGACTACGAGACAACCATAACTTCTCACAACATTTTCAATTGAATCTCCAGAGAATCAAAACAGATATAGCTAGAGAAGTTGATGAATACATTGTTGTCAAAATTGTATTTTCAACTACATAATCATTAAACTATCAAACGAAAATATAAAGTGATGTCAGAATATGTAAGACAATTAGAAATAGAAAAAAAGTGATGAGAATGTATTAAGTTCATCATCTCGTTCGATAATGATCTTTTTTGGTGGAACAAATGATTGATACAAGTTAGCTGGCAGCAAAGAAACACACACTGTCAGTAATTTAAATGGTAATCCAAGTATTCACTATGTTAATAGTCAAACTAGACAATGAATGCAAATAGTCTGAAAATTGAAATAAAAAAATAAAAGAGAATTGACGCAAAAAAAGAAAAAAAAAGAAAAAAAGGAAATAATAGCAAAATCATAGTTTTTACCGACGAACTGCATATACGAGTTCAATTTGCAACATTTCGTGATAGAGAGAAACTTTTGAGAGAAGTACACACAATATATTGGAATAAAAAAAATGGAGAAGAAGTTTCATTTAATGAAAAGAGAGAAGTTAAATGAGTGCTATTGGAATGAAGATTTTCCAAGAAAAACATAGACACTCGTTGAATATAAAGTAAACATTTTCAGAACAGCTTTAGAACAAATTAAGTATTTAATGTCAGACTTGTCAATCTAAATACGTTTTAATTGTATAGCAAAAGTTTTTAATGATTACAGCAATTTACGTGTTCGTTTCTGACTAGTCGGATATTCTTAGCAATGTTTCATCCTTCGTTTTTTCGGAAATAATTATCATAATTTTCTTTCAGTTCTTCAGTTTCCTTTCTAAGATATGTTTTCTCAGCTCTTATCCTGCGAGTGAATTTTGTCTTTCTCTCTATTTCTCTCTAATTCTTATTATATTTTACTAATTTATCTGCTCTTAAAAAGATTTGAATATTAAGACACTGCCATAAAGGAAATGGCAGGAAAATAACAGATTGGAGCTATAAGTGGGAATTTGAGCATCTAGAAGGGCCTATGTGTTAACTAAAAAGAAAATAAAAAGTTGTTTTTACTTTGTCTTTTTTCTTTTGTGCATTAACTGAAATCTAAACGAATCTATTCCTTCTCTCGTTTTTCCAAGCAACTGTTATGATCTATTGAATTATTAAAAGAAAACAAATAAAATAAAAAAAGGAAGAAAATATGTTTCAAACTTCAAGTCATCAATCACATTCATAATTCAATTTGATTTCAGAATAACATTCTTCTGAATTCTCATGATGAAGTTTTAGTAAGAAATAATGTAAAAGCAAAAAAAAAACTTTTAAGATGATTTAGATTTTAGGGATGTCGCTACTACTACATTAGCAATATTTCGATAGAAAATAGAATAAAGACATTAAAAAGACTTCAATAATTAGGGGTTCATGCTCATTCGAGTGGATTAACACAACTTATTCATTGAAAGTAAAATGAAAAAAGGTTTGTCTGATTCGAAATATATAAAGTAACGCATTTTTTCCTTCTGCGAAAGTAATATTCGAATGAAAGCTTGAGTTAGATGAACGAAATGGAACTAATTTGAGTCGTCAACTTAACAGAGAAGCAAGGGTGTCAGATTTTATGCTTAATCCCATACTCAAAGTGGATAATTTGTTTTAGTGAAAATGAAATATAAAACAGTACGAAGAGACTTATCAGGTCTCCAGAAGTTTATAGCTGGAAATAAATTAAAATTTCGCATAAAACTTTGTGAGTACAGCTGCTTTAGAATTACAAGTTATAAAACATGATGAGAATTACCCCCCACACAACTCAATTTTTGTTATTAAAAAAAGAGATATATGATGAAAACCAAAGAAAAAGAAGCTAAAGAACTCAGAGGAATGTGCAGAATAAATTTTTGAAAGCATGAATTTTCAACAAGTTTTTTGTTCTGCTTATTTCCAGTACATTAAATGCATATTATTTGATGGTGGAACTTGAAATGTAAATGAAAAAAAAAGAAAATATTCGTCTTGTTTGAATCTCATTTTCAATGAAAAAATGAAAAAACTAAGATGTTTCTCAAATATATTTAATAATATAGAAGAAATGCATATTGAGTCACAAGCCTAAAAATAGAGTTATCAATGCAAAGTTACATGAGGCAAGAGTGTTGACAGAGGGCAGTAAAACGAAAAGAAAGTTGAAGAAATATTGAGCGGAAGCCTGAAGAAGAGCACGCCTTAATTGACGTTATATTTTGTCTCATGTTTTCGCCTCAACTATTTTATTGAACGATTGTGTCATTTTCAGATTATTTCATTCAACTTTCATAATACCTTTCTCTTCTCTTTTTTTTCATATTCTGCAAACAGTGTAGTGCATTGAAATGAATGAATGAATGAATAAATGAATAAGAATATATATATTTTAAAATACTTTGAGTTAGATAATTGAACAAAATAAACAGATTATATATGTATGAACCTTTTTTTTGTTTTGTATTATGAAAACAAAGAATAACTTTTAATGCTATAAAGCTTTCAATCCTTGAATATGAATAATAATTTATTCATTTTTTCATTCTTCAGCACTTCTTATTTGGAAGATTTTCAACACAAACATTATGAGGCATAACTTCATTTTTTTTTCTGTAAAATAAGAATATTGCTTCATGCATGAGAATAAACAATGTACATAATGAATAAAATATATATTTTAAATTAAATTATTAAAGTTTTTTTCTTATTAGTGCATTCGCTTAAGAGATTCTGCATCTCAATAGCCGTCCCTGTATCCATATTCCTAAAATATTTTATTCATTCATTCAGTTATAGATAATTAGTGACAGATACCTGACTGATTGTTGAGCCATCCATTTGGTCATGCAGCTGCTGCTTGTGAATTCGATCTTTCTGTTTATTCATTAAGTATACAGCTCCAATAGCTGTAACTCCAAATATTACAGCTATGATAACTAAACACAGTAAGCCAACAGCCCAACCAAATGAACTCGATGTTCTAAAACAATATAATCAATTATCATAAAAAGCTAAGTTTACTAACGCCGCCAAATTGGCCACTGTGCAACATCCTTGATTACAACAACCGAGGTTACAAACATATGGCACTGGTATACGACTGTTTATTCTCTGATAATAACAAATGTTTTGTCCAGAATCTTAAACGTTAAAAAATGAGCACGAAAGTCAAGTGGCTGGCAATACCTGATATTTCTTGCCGGATCAAACCATTGATCGTATTTCTCAATAGATATTCCGTCGATTGAGTTACAGATCTGAACAAAACTCTTTCAAAAAATGGTGATTAAATATATATATATAAAAGCAGTTAATTATAGAAAAATTATATATGAATTGAAAATATATACTTACGTAAACGTAGTTGCAATGACATTTTCTTCATTTTGGGTACTGACAGGTAAACTATCCCACCGAGACATGATAAGAAGTGACTGATGTAAGAACTAAGAAAATGAAAAACCTAAACAAGTGGACTAAATGATGATGATAAAAGTCGGTGTAAGGATCTCTTGAACAGACATTCGAATGCTATACGGATGAGTTAAGTGAACAAAAGTGGCTTGACTGTCACACACGGTCAACTAAGCAAACATGAGTCGCGAATACGCAGCACGAAATATTTTGACAGCAAAACTAAACCCTTACGGATCATTGGGAAAAAATAAAAAAAAGGTTTAACTTATGATAATGGTCACTATAGAAAATTGTAACTTGTTGACATGACAAAGAGCAAAGATAACTTTGACCTCGGAGAAAAAATTACACAAGAGAGTAAACCTGAGCAGCATTCGTTAGTATTTCAACTGCTTGAGCAGTTGCGAACAGCTTTACTAACATACCTGAATAGGAGCCGACGAATACAACGATCCTATTGAATAAATGAAGAAGGAACACGTGACTTTACAGTTTTCAATTGTATTGTTAAGAGGGATTGTTTTAACAACCATATATATTGACACAGACTAATATTGGATTAACCAAGTAAGAAAACTTTAGCGTTCATCCAAAACAGTTTCCATAGAGTGAGGGTAATAGTATTTCAAAATATCCTTTGATTAACCAAAGAAGAATGCAATATCACAATTGACAGACGTTTGTCATCAGAGTTCTATTTCGTTTTATACATAGATGCGAATGATCTATATGGTTAAGCAATGTATCAAGAGCTGCCTATTAGATGTTTCTGATTCGAAAACGATGAAAAAAAATTCACCCGTGTTTCTTGATCCTTTAAGGACAGTAACTAACTTCTAAAGAAACCTTGGGAAAATAGCAGCTGGCCTTTTTCTTGCTAAAATGTTGCTCGGGTTTTTAATTTTTTCTTGGAAGATGGAAAATAATATTGTTTAGATTATCCTCAGCGAATACAAGATAATGCCCGACTGGGTTCAAGAAGAAATCTATGCATGCAAACCCAACGATGTTGAGTCTATTGCTCCTGCACCTGCAGCGAGACAGACGGGTAGCGGGATATGTGAGAGAATTGTACAATAATGTTGTGTTACACCTCTTCCTCAGATGGAGTTCATTCCCTTTGTTTTATTTGTTGTTTGAGCTACTATGACATGGCATTATCCAGCGATGATCGCGATGACTGATTGCTCTTTTAGGTCAGTGGTTAGAGCGACGAACTCTCAACCGAAAGACCGGGGTCATAAGAAAACAATTTTATTCTGTGATTTTATAGTTACAATTTCTTTAATTTAAACTTTTTTGCTACCAGAAGTTTCCAGCGTGCATTTACGTATTCCTGTATAAGCTTACTCTCTATTGTGATGCTGAAAGTGCCGTATGCTGCTCTTCTTCTTGTGAGCAGTCATAGGACAGCTGAGGATTAAATTTTCCAATTATACAAAGAAGGGAAAAAATACCTAATTAATAGATTCTCCCAATAATTGACAACAACAGGGAAAAATATTATAATTGCTCAGATAAGTCGTTTATCCTTACGTCGTCCAGGTGACGTATGAAATTCATTATACCGACAGTGCCATATGCACTATTTCGACCTAGATATTGCACATAAACGGAGATCATCTTTCAATTCATTCCTTCTTTTTTTTCATTTGTATGAGCTTCGAGATATGTCTCGTTTCTAATTTAATTTCAATAGTAGCAAGTAATATCCAAACGTTTGAAACTCTCTTGTATCCGTTCGGCATTCACCCGCGTCGTGGATATTTGAAGACAGCTATATAATTGCTTGTTAGCTCTTCTCAAACAATCATTATAAATCTCCACATTCGTGAACATGCATCCTTATTTTTATTTCTTTCTTGCTCGCATTCAAGATAGCATTTACTACAGTTATTCAGTAATTCTGGTTTTCTACATATATCTTTATCATTTCATCGTTATTTTTCTGTGAAAAATCCGACTAAATTGTTTTTTTAGATTTTAATCTGATTATTCACAGCTTTCTGAGAGAAAATGATGTATGCCAGTGGATCAAGACCTCATGTAAGTTTCATCTTATATGCATTACGATATGAGAGTGGATTTTTTGAAGAACTTTTTGCTTCTAAAAAAAGTTAATATTCGAAAAATGCACCATGATCATAGTTTTTGTTGCGACACCAAATCGCTCTCTGCTTTGATTATATCATATAATAGAGTAATTTATGACTCAGAGAGAAATCATTTAAACTATTGGATATTCCCTTTTTCTTCAATTTGTAATAATTTGTTCAAAATAAAAATTAGAACTGTATATATGTTTCTCACAGCTCCAAAATAATTGGAAAGATGTTGAGGATCACCTCAACGAAAAGTTTTCCCGCATTTTTCACGCAGGAGCTCTTCATTCGGAGGAGCGTTGCACAGATGCAACGAACATTCATACAAAACGCCTAATCAAGCGTTCTCATACGAATTATGTGTTGAGGAACTGCATAAAGGTAAGCCAGAAAAACTTCATAAAATATTATCTGTCTAAATACCATTTTACCATATTTAGGTGCAACGACACACCATGATTCTTCATGAAAATATCCGGAAGAAGTCAGACGGATATTTTCATCTAATTGTCATCGATCTGGCTAATTCAGGAATTGTGAGTAGTTCAAAAAATCAATAACTTTTAATAATATCTTTCCAGACTGGTGCATCAAAAGCTATTTTCTACGATATGGAGAGCTTTAATTGCTATGTGGCTCATGTGGACAGGAAAACGGTATTTCAGTAAATATTATAATTGATAACTGATATAGTATACATTACAGATGTTCCGAGCCCGTTTCCTCAGAGCCACAATCCCATTCCAGCTTGTGAGATTGCCACAGATCTTAGAAAAAAACCATAATGACTGGCATTTCTCTGTGTTTGGAAAACTGACACCGGTTTGTACAAAGAATTAGTTTGACTGATTAATATATTTAGATGAAATGCCCTGAACAAATGATTGTTTGCATGGATTTGATAGGGCTAACCAGTAAGGACTTTTCACTCAAGCAGTTCAGGTACGCACATCATTGCACACAGCTCCATTCTAAAGGTATTGGAAATATTAAAAAAAAAATGTTTCGCTTTTTGCTTCAGGAATAATCAATACATTCCTTTACCCCAACGTGGAATACTATCAGCATGTTGAACTACGACCGCTGAGAGTTGAAGAATACTCTGAGGAAAGTAAAGTTTCCAAAAAAGTAACTGTTGCGTTGGATGTTCAACGAAAGTGAGTCAAAGAAAACATAATGAATTGAGTGAAATCTTGCAGAATCGACTCACGTAAGAAAAACGAGCAGAACGCTGAGGAGTTTTATTAATTTATTTTGAATTTTTTTGTAAATTGGTAAATTTTGCTTATTTTCTTGCTTTTTCTGTTGATCCCTGTGACGATAAACTCAATAAAGATTTTGAAATTAGGCTGAACCTTATGTGTATTTTGATGCTGAATGTTACATCTGCTAGGCAGCGGTGGTTACGTATCGGAGAAAATTACCACAGTTGATGGCGACACTCTTGGCGCAGTCGGCAGTAGGGTAACCTCGGAATCTAAGGATTGAGGGTACGACTCTGAGTGTAGTCTATCTATTTTGTTTTTTTTGTTTTCTTATCATTTTGGTTTTCACGATCACATTCAGTCAAAAATCTGAAAATAGACGTTTTGTAGTTGTGTTTGTGATTGAATGACCAGGATTCGTTTCGGAAAAGATTTAAACTTACATTTTTCTTTTTTTTCTTTCTTTCCTATAAGATTAACCATAGCTGAGGACAGCTATCTTTTCCATTGAAAATATGTCACATATACAGACTCATCTCACGTTTTCAAACTTTAGTTCAAAGTTAAAACTTTAAGAAGCTTAACCAGGAAGTTCACAGATGTTGTATAAAAACAATGCTACACAAAAAGTCACACAGATCTGAAGTTTTTAGGCATGAGCCCATATAGTTTGAACTCAATTTAGGAGAAAAACCTCTTTTTGGAATTCATTTTTAGAAAACGCCTTGTCGAAAACTAATCAAAAGCATCCAATGGTTCTTGTGTATTATTTTCCCCCCTCGATATGCTCCGCCCCTTTCTGCCGTTTCGCGCACAGTTCAGTGATTTGTTCAAAGCTAGGGAATTGGACCAACTTTTTTATACCTTGCTAATGTGGGGTCTGTTGTGTATTTCTTAACGAATAGTGATGAGATTCGAATTTTTGAATGAAAATTCAAATAAAGATGTTTGCTCTCCAAGCTGAGGTCTCCAAAAAAGAAGACGCTATTCACTATCTCCAAAGGAAAGGACTTGTACCTTTAACCAAACTTTGCGAGCAGTGCGAGATTGATATGAAGATGTTCATATCTAGAGAAAGATGGAAGTGCCCAAAAAAATCGTGTAGAAAAGAAGTTCAGATTCGAAAAGGAAATTTTTCTAGAAGGTAAACTTCAACATGATTTCATATTGTACAATTTTGTTCAGGATCTCGTCTTTCATTTTAAAAATTTGTTCTGTTCTTGTATTCTTGGACCAAAGAGTACACAACAGTTAAATTTTGTAAAGAAGAAT